TGGGAGCCTGACCGCGGGCCCTGCGTCCTTGCCGAGTACCGGGCCTTCAGGTGAGCACCGTGGTCCTGCCCCAGGGCAGGGACCAACCCGCCCCCGCCTCGGTTTCGGCTGCTTTCCTACCATTCGCGATTTACCCGTGCAGGGAGAACGTGCTGAAGAACCTGGATGACAAGGCTTTCAATAAGCCCATCTGCGAGGCCCTCTTAAACCAGAAGTTTTTCAATGGAATTGGGAATTACCTCCGCGCTGAGATCTTGTACAGGTGAGGTGGGCTGAGCACCCGCTGACCTGCAGTGGAGGTTTGGTCCCTGCCGCTCAACAGCTTCTTGCCTGAGCTGGCTGGGCCTCCTTGCTTGGTAGGCACGGGCAAGTGCTAGAACTGAGAGTTTTGGCTTGTGTGTAACAGATGGACTCTCTCAGGTTGAAGATCCCACCCTTTGAAAAGGCTCGGACTGTGCTGGAGGCCTTGAAGGAGCAGGAGCAGGCAAGGAGGAAGAAGGTGGGGAATAGTTGGTGCTTTCGCGGGCTCAGAAAGGGACACGTTTCCAGACAGATACCATAGCAAGGATTTGTTTGCCTGGGCTCCCAGGAGCCTCTTGGCTTCCATGCCAGGAGCCAGTCTGAGCTGAGAAATGTTCCCAATTCAGGTTTGGGCTCAGTAGAAGTGGAGGTGGTTCTGTGCACTTCCAGTCCGGGCTCATCCACTGTGCAGCTCTGACTCTGCTTTGGGCTGCACTGGGTGCGAAGCTCTGCTTCAGAGCTGTTGTTTTGGGCTTGTTCCAGCTCAGGGGTTGGGCCCAGTTTCAGTTTGTGTTTGGTTCCTCGCTCTGACGGGGCAGAACGTCATTGCAAGGCCCTTGCAGAGCTTGTGCAGCCTCTGTTGTCAGGTGGGATTCGCTGCTCTGAGTCTTCCCCAACCTGACACCGGGCATATTCCCTCCCCAGCTGTTGCCCTTGCTGTACGGGATCCTTCTCCTGGGGCGTTTTACTGGCACTTGCCATAAAGAGCTGTGTCTGAGCATGCCTGCCCTTCCCGTGGAGCTGCAAACGGGGCACAGCAGTTCCATCACCTCAGGCGTGTGGTGCCCGGGCACCTGCCCGTGTGCCACGCCAGTGCTCGGCTCTGCCTGGCTTCTGCTGTCAGGAAGCCTCCGGGTGTGTTTGGGGTGGGTGAAGAGGAGGGAGCCAGGGAAACGAAGCTGAAAAATCTCTAGGGAAGGCTGCAGTATTGCTCACGGCCCATCTCGTGGCCTCTGGGGAGAATGTGGCTATTTTGAAGGAGGCTGAAAACAAACCATGCAGCTCGAGGGCTGTTTTTACATGCTGCTGGTGTTTCTGTTTCATGCCTTTGTTGCTGTGGGGAACATGCTAACACACAGTTTGAAGCCTGTCACAACTGGGTGAGCTCACAACTGACACACGGTGGGGAGTGTGGCAGCTCATCCTCAGGAGGGAATTTGGCTGCTCTTGGGAAGGGGAGGGGAGACCCTGAGGAGGCTGAGCTGGCTGGCCAGGTGACTGGCCTCCTCTTCTCTACCCCTGCAGAATCCTTCCCTGACGCTGAGCAAGAAGCTGAAGCTGATGCGGGAGAACCTGGATCTCCTGGAGCTGTGCCACACCGTGCCCATGGAGGTCATTGCAACGGGTGAGGTGACAGGACATGGAGCCGGGGGACAGGGACAGCTTGGCGTGGCAGAGCTGCCTGGGCTTTGTGTTCCCAGCAGCAGGAGGTTTGAGAGGGCACCCTGGCACCACGGTCCCTGCTCCTTCTCTATTTCCATCCTTTCCCTCTCTCCCTTCCCAGAGAAAAACCTCTTGGACCCAGATAATTTAGATAATTACGCTGCGTTCAAGAACTGGCTGCAGTGTTACTTGGTGCCTGGCATGAGCTCCCTGCGTGATCACAATGGCAGGACCGTGTGGTTCCAGGTAGGAGCTTGGGGTCACTGTCTGAGGCTAGGTGGTCCCCAAACACTCCTCCAAGGTGACATCGGCCCATTTTCTGCTTCCCTAGACCCCCCAGCACTACGCTTCATTGCTGGGGTTCTCCCACTCCACCAGACTGGTGTGACCACTGGATGTAGAGGTGACAGGGACCCTCCATGCAGTGGCCAGCTGGCCAAGGGATGGCAGGCAGTCTGGAGCAGAGGGGCTGATGGCAGGAAGAAGGGGGCTCAGGTGGTCTGGCAGCCCTGTTCCTCCCTCTTGTGCCCCTGTGTATGGGTGAGAACCTTCTAGGAGGGGCAGGGGCTGATGGGAGAGTGCCCGGGGTACAGGGTAGGCAGAGCAAGCCTAGCTCAACTGCCCGAGCCTCGCAGGGAAACACGGCTGTCTCCCTCTCCATCTTGGCTGCGGGGTGGAGAAGGGGCAGGGATTCTGCTGCCGCTACCTGCAGAGAGACCATGCCTCAGCCGACACTCTCTCGCCTTCCTTGCAGGGAGAGCCTGGCCCCATGGCTCCCAAAGGTGAGTGCCTGCTCTCCTCCCTGTGGGGACCCGCTCTTGCTCTGGGAGGACTCCTGCCCCAAAGGCAGGAGCAAAGCCACTTGCCGCGGGGTGCTGATGGGCCTGTGATGGCCAGCGGCACTGGGGAATGGAGCCCACTGTGCCCAAGGCTTTCTACCAGCACACCCGCCTGGCTGCTTTTTCAGGCCAGCACCTGCATGCCCTCCCTCGCCTGTCAGGCCAGGAGGAGGAGGGTGTGCTCTCCCTGGGGCTGTAGGCCTGAACCGAGCAGTTTTTTGGCAGGGGAGGGCAGCTGGTGGGGGAGGAGAGACACCTCCTCAAGCTGTTGCTCTACCCCAGTGCTCAGCTCTCGTCCCTCAGTCCCTGACTGGCCTCTGTGCCACAGCCCATCCCCTGATGTGCGGGCGCTCTCTGCCCAGTCTTCTCCTCGCCCCGCTGAACCTGGGCACCTCTCCTCACGCAGGGCAGACGCCCCGCAAGAAGCGCGCTCAGCCGAAGGTGGAACCCGAGGCTCCGGCCCCCGAGGTGAGAGGCTTTGTGTTTGCGGCTCCTGCTGCTGGGTCTGGAAGCTGCCCTGTTCCCTGTGCCTTGCTCGGGCTGCTCCTGAGTTCACGTCGGGGCTCCTGCCTGGAGCTTCTCATCGTGTGGAGGTCCAAGCGCTCTGCTGCTGCTCTGCTGTCTGCACAGGTCACCACGCGCACCTTGAGACGGCGCCCCAGGGCTGCAGAGAAACCCCTGAATTCGGCCGAGGAGGAGGAGGAGGCGGCTGATGGGCTGAGGAGGGGACGTGCTCGCACAAGGAAGAAAGCAGATGCTACTCCGGCCTCGTCCGAGCCTGAGGTGCCGGCCAAAGCCAAAAGGAGCCTCCGGGCGTCTGGGCGCAGGGGCAGAGGTGAGGCTGGCGGTCCCCGCGGCTCTCAAATGTACAGGCAGGGGCTGTGGGAGAGCTCCCTTGTGTCGACGGGGTGCCAAAGGGCAGGGGAGGAGCTCTGGGGAGCAGAACCAGGTATCCCCTCACCCTCCTACTTGTTTCCCTCTCCATCTTCCAGGCGTGGCCCCGGTTGTGTGAGCGCCGCCTTTGAACTGCTGAAGAAAGAGCTCAGGGAGGGCCCCGGCTGGGGGCCTGGGTTAGTGCTGGGGAGAAACGGGGCTGCTCAGGCCCTGTGCCCACACCCACTTGCTGCTGCTGCATCCTGATCGTGTGAGAGGAGAAGCTGGGCTTGGCGATAGGGCTGATTTATCCAGTGTCCTCCTGCTGTCCCTGGGCATTCGAGGGGGATACAGGCCACAGACCACACATTGTGCTGGGCTCTGACCCTTCCCTCTGCCTCAGAGTGGATTCCCTCTTCGCTTCCTGGTTGCTGCCTGGATCCCTGTTTTTAGCTGAGCAATAAAGTATTTTTGTGTAGAAATCACCGTGCACACCTTTTTGTGCCAAGGATAACCCCTCTGTGCCCAGCCTCTTCCCCAGGTGCTTGGAGCAGGCTTCCCCTCCACTTAACACCCAACAAAATAAAGATAAGCTCTGTCCTCCCAGCCCCAGAAGGAGATTCTGCTGAGGAGGATGCCAAGAGCAGCAGCTAAAACAGAGCCCCTGGGAAGAGGCAGATCAATGTAGTTATCTGGAAATAAGGAAAGGGGCTGGAGCTTGTTTCCATTTAATTCTCTTGTTTACTTGTGTTTCTTCAAGGGCAGTGCAAGAGGCAGGCGGAGGGAGAGGGGAATGACTACAGTCTGTCTTTACACTTGCTGCTAGAGGCTGGACAAGGCGAAAGCTGAGACACAGGAGCCACTGTGGAAAGCTGCTGCTCCCTGAAGCCCTGGGGCTGGAGCAGAGCCCACGCAGGGCCCACCAGCCTGTCCCACAGCCTTGCCCACGCTTCAGCGAGCTGGGAACTCACTTGGGCCCTCCTTCCCTGGATGGGCAGGAAGTAGCGCCTCCTTTCCCAAAGGACACGGTTGTTCCAGAGCGCTGCTCTCCGATGGCTGGGTAGAGGCCCCTTCCTCGGAGCCACTGCCTCCTTGCACAGCTCTTGAGCTCAGGGAGGCCCCAGGTCGTGCTTCAGGCTCCCGGTGTTGGTCCAGGCTGGCTCTGTGGTGCTGGCATCACTGCCTCAAGGCGAAGAGGACGGAGAGCACACGGAAGGGCGTGAAGGACAGCCTCACGCCCCGCGGCTCCAGCTGCAGGCCGCCCTCTGCAGCAGGCCGCTCCAGGAGGTCGCAGCTGGGGAGGAAAGCAGTGAGTAGGCGAGGCCGACTGGGCGGCTCTCCACCCCCCCACGGGCACCCAGCCCTCCAGCACAGCCTTACAGCATCGCCTCCTTGATGGGGAGGGAGGTTTGGAGCCAGGCGGAGACCGTGCTGCCGTGCGCCTCGTACAGCCGAACCACCACGGCGTTGGGTCTGTCCTCAGCCTTTGGGGGAGTTGGAAGCGGGTCAGAGGAATGCATCCTGTCTCGCACCGCAGGGTACAGCCCTCCCCACGTCTGCCCCAGGGACTCACCTGCTTGACCGTCTCCAGCACAACCGCAGGCGAGCTGACGGAGAAGGCGCTCCAGGGCGGGCACTGGGCAGAGCTCCCTGGGACCACGTGGAGGGGGAAATTCAAGCTGTAGGCATGCTGGATCACACCGGCATCCTGGAAGGACCCTGCAACACAAGAACCTCTAGAGAGCCTCTACACATGCACAGCCCAAGATGGGCCCAGCTCTCCCATCAGCACTCACCCAGGTGAGGCATCACAGCGTAGGTGAACTGCTGGTGTGCCATGTCTGCCGTGGCATCGGGGGACTTGGGCGCTCTCAGCCTAAGGCCACAAGAGGTAGGTGAGGCTGGTGTCTCAGCAGTCACCATCCAGTCACCCAGAGTCACTCACTGTCACCCAGTGCAGAGCCAGAGGAGTGCTGTGACCTCGACGCCAGGGCCCAAGGTGGAAGCCAGCATACTGCTGGTTTCTGGCAACAGCAAAAGGACCCTGACACTAAAAAATCTGAAGGGTGTGTGTGAAACTTGTGGCTGATGGTGTCAATACAGAGCTCCTCCTAGCTTTGTATGCATGTGTAACATCTAAGTTTCTTCCCTCTCCTTAAGCCTCCCCTCCTCAGGTATGTTTTGGCCACCAACAGAAAAATTGCTTGACATAAATGTGGAGCTAATCTCTCTTGAATGATACCCGAGCATCACTCAAAGGAGTCACATTATCTTAGTCAGCTGTAGTGAAGCCAGCCAAAAGTTCTCAGACAACAACCAGCCACTTAGGCCAATACCAGACTGCTTCCTTATTAACTGATCATTTAGGACCAGGCGTTGCCTTGACTTCCAAGAGATGGCTTGGAAGGCGACTGAGGTTGCTGCAGCTCCACCCTCAGCCCAGCCCCAACTCACAGCGAGAGGCTGAGGACGTTCCCATGGGCCGACGCCCCATATTTGCAGTCGTTCAGCAGTGCCACCCCAAAGCCGTGCTCTGAGAGATCCAGCCACTTGTGAGCCCACACCTGCAGGTGGTACCAAGGGACGTATTCACCACCCAGACGTACTGTGCCTGGGAGTGAAAGCAGCCCCAGCACGGGAGGAGCAGCTCAGCCCCAGGGGCAGGCTGCCTCTCCTCTCACCTCAAACCGAGCCCAGTCCCAGGACGTGTTCCAGTGGGTTGGCCGCTGCAGGTGTCCAAACTGGATCTCGTAGGTGGCATTGGTGCTCCGGACCTGCACAGGGAACTCCACCTTCAGGAACTTGTGAGCCTCTTTCCACTCAACCTAAATGCAGTACAACAAGGACATCACTGTGGGGTGCTGATAGGCAGAGGCTGCATTTATCCCTCCCCAGCCAGACCAGGTACAGTAAAACTGGCATCTGGGCACAGGTGAGTTGGTGGGTCTCTTCCACTCTTGTCCCTCAAGCTGCTTTCCCCTAAGGCACAGGAGGATGGGCAGTGAGGGGCTCCAGGGAAGGAAAAGGGATGGGGGGGAAAGTAATTCAGACACAAGGTTCAGCTCCCCAGGGCCCTGCCTGCACAGCACAGATGTTGGTATGGCACAGCGGCCACTGGCCAAACCTGGGTCAGGAAGCGGAGGTATGGGCACGTGGCATCCAGGATGATCTCCTGGGTTAAGGTGCTGCTGCTCCCAACCTGCAGAGAGAAGCTTGCGCTTCCCCGCAGGCCCCCAGCCAGGGTGACTTCCAGAGGCTTTAGCAGCTTTGTCACTGGCTTCCTAGAGAAATGGATAAAGGCAGCGCTGGTCTCTGATCCAGGTTCCCAAATCCCAGTCCAGCCTCCCACACAGCAGCCACTCACTTCTCCAGAGTCAGCCTTTTGTTCCAGCTAGTGCTGACAGGAAGGCAAAAACCTCAGTGCAAAGTCAAAACCCAAGTGCTACACACACTACTTCTCTACCTGGTTTCCAAGTGATAATCCATCACATCCCAGGCATCCCAGTACAGGGGAACATCATCGAAGAGTGCAAACTGGTTGGCACAGCAGCCATCTGGGATGGACTCTCTGGAACAAAGCAGAACGGAGACACAGCGGCGTAAGAACAGCAGGCAGTGGAGAAGGGTGTACAGAGAGAAGAAGAGCCAAGGGAGCTTTGAGGAGCCTGGCTGCAGTAACAGGGTGATAGACTCACCTCTGGGAGCCCACCAGCCGAAGCGAGATCAGGTGCCCCATGCTGTCCAGGCAGACTGCAATCACCCCATTTTCCATGGCGATGGAGCCATCCTCCTTGGGGGAAAGGACAGAAACGGATTGCAAAGGCCCACAGTTGCAGATCTAGTTGCTGTGTGCTGGATTCCCTGGATTTCTCCCCAGTCAGCCTTTTCAGCAGGGAACACCAATGTGAGGACAATTGCCACTGTTCTCACCTGTTTCCTTACTGCCACAGGTTGAGGGGGCAGCAATGGCTCCCTCACTAGAGCATAGCCCATGCTGGGGACTGTCACCAGAGCTGGAAAGCAAAGAGGTTCTGTTCCAACATCCACCCGGACCTAACCCTAAACGATGCTGTGCTCCCCTACTGCTACCACCTCCTTTCACACCCTCCTCTTCATCCAGAGTTCAGGAACAACTTGAAGTGGGATAAAGTCCCAAGGAGCAATTTTTACAAGTCACTCAACCCTCCCCAGGGCAGGAAGAGGCAGAGTATTTCTCTGTCAGCTGCCTCTGCCCCTGTCCAAAACTGATACGTGAACTTTCCCTGAGCTAGACCTACCTAAAGTCTCTGTTCCGTCTGGCCCAGTCCTGGAGATGACCTCGGTCCGTTCCCAGGGCAAAGTGTTCAGCACAAGAGAGCTCTCGGGGCTTCCTTCCTTGGGGTGCAGCAGCCCCCCACACAGGGACTGCACAGCGTCCTCCAAGAGCCCAGTGCCAGCCCTGCGGATCTCTGAGCAACAGAAAGGCCCCAGTTGGATCCACAGAATCATTAAGGTTGGAAAAGACCTCTAAGATCATGAAGCCCAGCCAGGCCGTTCCTCACCTCCGAGTGTTTCTCGCACAATCTACACACACTTTGGCTACTTTCAAGCTACAATTACTAATTATCATGAATATTGGTGTTTCAAGTTTATAATTTTTCTTCTTTGTTATTACATGTTTACAATGAGCTGTGCCAGCTCAACTGGAAAATGGTGGTGCTGTTATAACGCTACTTGCAATCGCCCATGGGCAGGCAGGAGCAAACCTCTGGGGGCTATCCTGGCACGCCAGCAGCAAGCAGAGAAGTCAGCAACTCGGGCTGGTTTTTAATCCCCCGGCTAACTGTTCCCTGGTGGGTTAGCACTGTCGCAGACACATGCCTGGATGGCTTGGACCCACAGCGCCTGGCAGTCCAAGATGGCAATGCCTGCAGCTCCACCAGGCAGGACCTGATGGAGAAATTCCCTGCTCACCCGCGTAGGACTGCAGGGCATCCTCCACCACGAGCTCGATACAGCTACCTGGCAACACATCATGGAATTGGTTGAGCAGCAATAGCCTAGAACAGAAAACAGAAGCAGAGGAGAACACCGGATTTGTTCTGGCTTACCGAGCCCTGTTTGCAGAGGGACAAACATTACAACTGCTCCTTACTCCTC